GTGAGCTCGAGACCAGCCTGGTCTACAAGAGTTAGTTCCAGGACAGCCTCCAAAGCCAAAGAGAAACCCTGTCTCGAAAAACCAAAATAAATAAATAAATAAATAAATAAATAAATAAATAAATAAATAAATAAATAAATAAATAAATAAATAAATAAATAAATAAATAAATAAATAAATAAATAAATAAATAAATAAATAAATAAATAAATAAATAAATAAATAAATAAATAAATAAATAAATAAATAAATAAATAAATAAATAAATAAATAAATAAATAAATAAATAAATCCTAGACTGGAGAGATGGCTCAGAGAGCACTGGCTGCTCTTCCAGAAGTCTTAAGTTCAATTCCCAGCAACCATATGATGGCTCACAACCATCCATAATGAGATCTAGTGCCCTCTTCTGGCTTGCAGGGATATGTGCAGAAAGAATACTGTATTCATAATAAATAAATAAATATTAAAATAAAATCCTTTAGGCAGGTAGTGAAGGCATACACCTTTAATCCCAGCACTGAGGAGGAAGAGGCAGTCAGATTTCTGTGAATTCCAGGACAGCCTGGTCTACAAAGCAAGTTCTAGGGCAGGCTCCAAAGCTGCATAGAAACCCTGTCTCAAAAAAAAAAAAAAAAAAAAACAAAAAAAACCAAAAAAAAAAAGGGGGGGGGGGGGAGGGGGCCGCGGGCGCCCCCACCCAACCAAATGCCATAAAATGTTCTGAAGATGGCTGGATATAAGAGCACTGGCTGCTCTTCCAGAGGTCCTGAGTTCAATTCCCAGCACCCACATGGTGGCTCACAACCATCCATGAGATCTGGTGCCCTCTTGTGGCCTGCAGGAATACATGCAGGAGGAATGATGTATACATGATAAATAAATCTTAAATAAATAGGGAAGGGAAGGGGCTCTTCCTTAGAGCCTCCAGAATGAGTGTGGTTTTATTAGTCCTCTCCCAGAACTTGGTGATAAACATGGGTTGTTTTGAGCATCAAAGTTGGTGGTAGTTATAGCAGCAATTGGAAAATCTTACAAAGTTATGGCCATGAGCCTTGATTCAGCTGAATTATTTTTAGCACAGATTCCCAGGAGTAGGATTACTGAGTCACAGCGATTGCTACATCTCAGTATCTCATTTTCTAAAGGGTGTTTACCAATCCTCAGTGCTACCATCTCTTCAAAGATAATTTAGGAAGTTTAGAATGTATCTTAAATGTTTATGTGACAGTACTTAAGAGTTTTTGTTTGTTTACCTTTAGATACAGCCTGGCTCTGTGGTGGCTTTCCTAGACTTGTAAACCAGGGTGGTCTCTGGTCAGAACAGTTCTCTGCCTCCACTTCTCTGGTACTAGGATTAGAGATAAATAAATATTTATTTTAATTTATTTTTGAGCCAGGATCTCTCTAATTAGCTCTGGCTATTTGGGAACTTACCATGTAGACCACTCTGGCCTCAAACTCACAAGAGATCCTCCTGCCTCTGTCTCCTGAGTTCTGGGATTAAATACATGAGCCACCATACTCGGCTGAAAATACATCTTTGGCTTTTTTTTTTTTTCCCCTAGCACTCATGATGGCTCAACAACCATTCCTTAACTCCAGTTCCAGGGAATCTAATGTCCTCTCTGACAGCTTTGAGCACCAGGCACACACATGATGCACATATATACATGTAGGCAAAACACTCTCTCTCTCTCTCTCTCTCTCTCTCTCTCTCTCTCTCTCTCTCACACACACACACACACACACACACACACACACACACACACAATCTAGTTTAAAAAGTAAGAAGTGCCGGTGCTGGTGGTGGTGCACTCCTTTAATCCCAGTGCTTGGGAGGTTGATGCAGGAGGATCACTGTGGGTTCCAGGCCAGCCTGGTCTACAGAGTGTGTTCTAGGACAGCCAGAGCTACACAGAGAAACTATCTCAAGATACAAACAAGCAGAGCTAAGTGGGTTTGTCGGGTTGCCTGTAATCTCAGTGGAAGAGAGGTAGAAGCAGATTAACAAATGCAACTCACCAGCTAGACCAGATGAATGAGCCAGCTCTGTCTGGGTTCAAGAGAAATACTATGGCAACAGAAAGTGAAGAATGATTGAGCAAAATACCCAGTGCTCACCTCAGATCTCTACAGGCATGTACACCCATGTATGAATGTACACATACACACCATAAACATATAAAGCGAAAAACAAAAAATGGGGCTGGGGTGACAGCTCAGTAAGTAAAGTAATTGCCACGAAGCCATGAGGACTTGAGTTCAATCCCCAGCATCATCTGAAATAGCTGAGCATGATGGTGCATGCTTACGAGTTGGCGACACAGAGACAGGTGGTTTCCTGGGTTTGCTAGCCAGCCAGTCTATCCTACTCAAGGAGTTCCAGCTTGGTGGGAGATCTTAGTTGAAAATTTCAAGGTTGGTGGCTTCTAAGGAGCGTCTGAGGTTGACTTTTGACCTCTACATTTATGAGAGAGAGAGAGAGAGAACGGTTCAGTGGTTAAGAGCACTTGCTCTTGCAGAGAACTTGGGTTCAGTTCCTAGTACCACATGATGGCTCACAACTGTCTGTTATCTACAACGCCAACTCTAGTGGATCTGATGAGGACACCAGGCACATAGGAGGTGCACATACAAGCATGAAGATGAAAGCAGTAATTTTAAAATCTTTTTTTAACTTAAAAAGCACTGATTTCGGTCTGGTGGATGGTTCAGAGCTTAAGAGCACTGACCTTTCTTCCAGAGGTCCTGAGTTCAATTCCCAGCAACCACATGGTGGCTCACAACCATCTGTAATGAGATCTGGTGCCCTCTTCTGGCACACAGGCATATATGGAGGCAGAATGTTGTATTCATAATAAATAAATACATCTTTTTTTAAAAAAGCACTTATTTCCTGATTTTTATGTTTGGTTCTCTCTTACCTCTACAAATTTTTATCTCTTCATCTTTATTTATGTGCCATGGCATGGATGAAGAAGTCAGTCCTTTTCTACCCTATGGTATCCGAAGATTGAACTCTAGTCCTCTTGGCAGCAAAGTTACCCACTGAACTATCCTGTTTGCCCATTCTTTAGAGCCTTGCTGCTCTTCTTTTTGAGGAAGGGTGTGTGTTTTGTAGGCTGGCCTGGAACTTCTGAACTCATGTGATCTCCAGCTTCCAGAAGGGCTGGGACTGTGGGCACCTGCTACTTCACCTGGATAGCCTCAGTCTGTCACTCCTCTTCCTTCTTTCCCTTTCTGAGACAGTTTCATGAAACTCTGGGAGTGTTTGTTTTTTTCAAACTCCCTGTTTTCCTCCAGCTTTATTGGAATAGTTTAAAATTACATTTTCTATTTTATAGAAGTTCAGTTGCTTTTTCCATCTGACTTTTAAAGACTATTTACAAGAGCTGGAGAGATGCTCAGCAGTTAAGAGCACTGCTTCCTCTTGTAGAGAACCTGGGTTCATTACAGCACACTCAAGGTGCCTCACAACCATCTGTTACCAGGGAATCCAAGGAAGTCTCCAAGGGCACCAGACACACATGGTGCACACCTACACACAGGTAAAATCCCTATTACATTATTACAATAAAGAAATCTTATAAAAACAAAACCAACCTGATTATAGCAAATAAAATACAGTTGCCTAAGTGATACAATATCCTTACATATCTTGATTGCTAGGAAAATGCATCTTGCAATACCCAGGGAGTGTTTACACTTGATGTGCAGCTGAGGGTGGCTTTGAATTCTCAATCTTCCTGCCTTGGTGTCTTCAGTGCTTGGATTACAGGTATGTACCACCATGCCAGATTTGTCAGTCCTCCTTTTAAATTCTATGCTTGTTATTCTACCTGCATAATCTTTGGGGAACCTCAGAAACATGTACTAATCAAAACCAATGTTTCTCTCTGTATCCTACCAGCCAGCGACTCTTCCTAGATTTCTATTTTTTATTCTATTATTATTATTATTTGTATTTTTTGAGACAGGATCTCACTATGTAGCCCTGGCTGTCTTGGAACTCACTCTGTAGACCAGACTGGATGCCTCCTGAGTGTTGGGATTAAAGGCCTGCACCACCACCCCTGGCTTTCCAGTTTGCTTTTTAGACAGAGCCTTACTTTTTTGCCCAAGCTGGCTTGGAACTAGAAGTATGTATCCAAGACTGGTTTCAAGATCATGGCAATCCTCCTGCCTTGGCCTCTCAGTGCAGGAATTATAAGTGAGTTACCATATTCAGCTCTGTATTTCTACTTTTTTGTTATTGGTACCATTCCTCACAGGAAGTGGCAGGGTGGGAAGATGGGAAGTCAAATTTTGCATTATTTCCCACAGTTGGTTTTGTGGCTTCTCTGTGATGCTATTCCTGTCCTTCCATTCCTCTCTATCCAGAGGCTATTACCCATTACCTTTTGCTTGTATTTTGCAATATGATAATTTACCATTCTTGTTCGTTACTGCTTTGTTTTACTGAAATGTTTTCTTTTTCTCTGTGTGTTTTGAGTCTTTCTGCCTGTTTCCACAGTGCTGGAGTTAAACTCGTGAATTACCACTTCTATAGATGTGTAATACTTTTCTTAAGTACAATTATGATGATGTTGCCTTGAGCTCACCTGGACAGGACTATAACTCATTGTTAAAGTACATGCTGTAGGCCCTAGGCTCCATCCCCAGCACTTGAACAACAACAACAACAAAATAATAATTCTCTTCTGTTCACAGACTAAGATGCATGCCTCTTGGTTTGTGATCTCAGGCCTATCATGATTCCAACTTTTTTTTTTCTTTGAGACAGAGTTTCTCCATGTAACAGCTCTGGCTGTCCTGGAACTCGCTTTGTAGACCAGGCTGGCCTCGAATTCACAGAGATCCTCCTGCTTCTTCCTCCAGAATGTTGGGATTAAAGGCGAGCACCACCACTGCCTGACCGCTTCCAACTTTTTTTATTTCACACTTATTTTGAAGCCCTTTTTCTCTGAGGCTCAGCAGCAGATATTGAGTACAAGCTGTTGAAAATCGGGCTCAGCAGTTAAGAGTACTGGTTGCCCTTCCAGAGGTCCTGAGTTTAATTCCCAGCAATCACATGGTGACTCAAACTATGTATAGTGGGGGGCTGATGACCTCTTCTGTCATGCAGGCATACATGCAGATAGAACACTCATGTGTGTAAAATAAATAAATCTAAAAAAAAGGACGTTGAAAATCCAGTGGGAAGCAGAACATGATGTCCATTGCAAGAGAAGCAATTCCGATTGAGGGTTATTTGTTTCTAGCTAATTAATGTCAATTTGTCCTTACTCGACCTCTGGTGCACCTTGAACTCCAAACTAGGCATGCCACTTTCTTTTCCGCTTTAGTCAGGATTTCCCTATATAGCCTGGATTGGCTTCAAGTTGCTGATCTTATTCCAACTTGCTTCAACCTCAGCCACTATAGTGCTGGTATGGAGGGGTGGGATATAACCACGCATGCCCAGGAAAACCAGACACAGACACAGACACAGACACACACACACACCACACATCCGTCTGTCCTTCCTTCCTTCCTTCCTTCCTTCCTTCCTTCCTTCCTTCCTTCCTTCCTTCCTTCCTTCCTTCCTATGGAGGTCTCACAATGCAGCCCTGGCTGACCTGAAATTCGCTTTGTAGAGCAGGCTGGTCCCAATCTCAGAGATCCTCCTGACTCCTTAATGCTGAGATTAAAGGTATGCACCACCACACACACAAAAAAAACCAGAGACTTTTGTTTCTTTTTTGATTTTTAGAAGCAAGGTTTCTCTGTGTAACCTTGGCTGTCCTGGAACTGTGCAGACCAGGCTGGCTTCGAGAACTCATAGAGATCTGCCTTCCAATGCCTCCGGAGTGGTGGGGTTGAAGGAGTGTGGCACCAACACCACGTTAAAACCAGGGCCTTTAAACAAAAGTCCTATCTGTGATGGGCCAAAGCGATAAAATACGGCTGAAGGGAAGAAAAACATGATTACGGTGTGTGAACAAGAAAAAAGTTGGCGCGTAAAAACTGGAGCCCTCCCTTGTTCACCTGTCAGTTCTTTACACAGAGGTTAAAAGGCTCTGAAAAAGGCACATGAATGAGAAAAACGTGCAGGAATGCACAGTGAGTGGGTCTCAGTGAGGAAGGCCTGCAGTTGCAAGAACCCATCAAGCCTCTCGCTCGCTCGGTCTTTCCGCAGGCAGGCCTGTCCTCGGCCGGCGGCCACCGAACAGGATCCTGGCTCATTCCTTTAGCCCAGTCTCGGCCTCCAGCCTCTCCCGCTCGCCTGGGCCGTTCTTCTTCGCAGTCGCAGTTCCCGCCTTACTGCTGAGCCGACGGAGGAGGGGCGTCAGTCGTGCTGGTTCCAGCCTTTTCTGGCGCCGAACTCCCGGACCCGCCCCCCCGCGCCAGTTGCCAGGGAGCGGTTGCCATAGAGCTGAGCAGTTGTCCGCGTGCGCAGGCGGAAGTCCCGGATTGAAGCGCCGCCATTTTTACTGCTCGGACGCGGAGCGAGAAGCCGAGAGTCGGAGACGCTATCCGCTTCCATCCGTCGCGCAGACCCTGCCGGAGCCGCTGCCGCTATGGATGATCGGGAGGATCTGGTGTACCAGGCGAAGCTGGCAGAGCAGGCCGAGCGATACGACGGTGAGTTGGAGGGGTGTCGGGGGGCTGGAAGTCTCGGACCCTCCGCCGCCGCCCACAGAGGCCGGGAACCGGAGACAAAATGGCGGCATCGTCCCCGAGTCTGGCTCGGGACGCGGGTCGGGAAGCGGGAAATGTCCTGCGGGCTCCCGAAGCGGTGGGAGTCTCCGGGCCCAGGAATTTGACCCCTCCGGTGTCCTTAGCTTGCAGACGCTCGCCCGCCAGCAGGCCGGGGAGTAGGGTGGAGGAGTTGGTTGTAAAATGGCGGCTGAAGGGGGAGGGCGAGTCCCCGGGCGGGGGAGGGGGGAGGAGGTGGCGGGTGCCGTCTCCCGGCGCGCAATCCCCACGGGAGCTTTCGGGACCGTGGCGGGATGCGGAGGACAATCGGGTGGGGTGATGTGCGAAGCAGCAGCGGTCGCTCGGGGGAGGGCGGAATCTTAGGGAGCTGGAGCGCGGGCGCCTTTTCAGGGAAATATGGCGGGGGGGGGGGGGGGGGGGT